CTGCCCCCGCACTGTACTCTCTCTCTGTCAAATGAATAAAATCTTAAAAAAAAAGGGATGACAATCTGATTTTCATTGTTCCTGACTACCTAAAGAATTTTTTCCTTATCTTTGAAGTTTAATAATTTTACTAAGATATGTCCAATAAAATATATCATTTATAGATTAATACAGCATTTCTCCTTGATCTAGATCCAAGAACTTTTAAATTCGGGAAAACTTTTTTTCTTTTTATTTTCAGGAAACTTTCCTTGAATTACAGTCGTATTTTATTTGTTACAATCCTTAGATGTTATCTTACAGTTCTCCAGTTGCATTTATACTAGATCTCCTTTGTTTGCTGGCTATTTCTAGTACTTTCTCCTAAATCTTAACAACAACAACAACAACAACTTTATCTTTGAGTTCCTTCACTTTTCCCTTTCTATGCATTTATGGCATCTATTCATGTGTTCTTTTTAATTTAGTTTTTATTTCTCATTTTTTGCTCTTTTTTCCCAATTCCTTTTTGACATTAGTCAATTGTCATTTTCTATCTTTCCATAACTTTTGATGCACGACTCCTGGGTATAAGGAATCCGCAATTCTTTAATTCTTTAAATTGGAATAACTCTTCATGGAGCTACCACTCAACTAGCCAATAGAATTTTCGATCTAAGTAACTCTTTGTGGCTTATGCTCCCTCACTTTTTTATCAAAGCAGAATCTGATCATTGCTTGTGGCTAGAAGATGGGGAGGGGTCTGCTCCTGTGCCCATGGTGGTTGGCATCTTTATTCTGGTTCCTCTGGCTACATGGTAGTGCTGTTAAGAATTGGTTTGATTTAGGCTCTTTGCTTGGAGGGTCCTTAGAGATGTTTCTTAGAGCACTTCATTGCATTGTCAGAAGATTCTTACAAAAACCTTTGTGTCTTACTAAGACTCAGTAAGGCATATCTCATCACTTGGGATGCTTCATTCTGCAACCCTCATTCCTCCAGCTGCCTCAGTCTCTGGGCAGAAGAGGGGCTAAACTCATACTTTTCACTTAGATTTGAACATTTTCAACTTCTGTTGCCTAAGCTTCTTCCCTTCGCTACCCCCTCAGCACATTTAGCCCCTCTCTGAGACCATCAGTTTAATAATTTTTGGTGAAATAGAAATACATATTTTTCCTTTGTGTGTTTTGCAGGATATTTTATGTCTTTAAATCTTTACGAACACATGTTATCTTCTGTTTTATGGGGAAGAGATTGGAGCTTGGGAGAGTTGATGCCACCTCCAGTAGCACTTTCCCAACATGCTCTGTTACGTGTGTCTTATTTATGCCTATCTTCTCCTAATATACGAGTTAGTGAAATTAGTTTCACTATTTCAGTGAAGGACACAATACATGTTATGAGTTTTAAGATGCATTATAATGAAAATAATTGATTTTGTGGCTTTTCAGTCACTGATGCTTTGTCAGTGAGATCCTCCAAGAAGCAGACAGCAAGGTAGAACAAAAGATGTGTTGGAGGAAATGCCTGAAGGAATAGGCGGGAGGGAGCCTTCCTACTGCAATGCAGGTCTCATACCTGTGAAAGGCAGAGGTGACAACAGAAAGATCAGGTAGGAAGAGTTTCAGATCCTGGTGCAGATGTGAAAGACTCATGGTGGGGCGGGGCAATGGGAAATACTCAAACAAAACTTGCCCATTAGTGAAATCTTGCACGAAGTGGTCATTGCTTGGGTCCAGTCCCTGTAGTGCTCAGTCACGGGCCAGGAGCAGCCCAGGTTCAATGTGGATCATGGATTGAGTGGATGAGGTGGTGCATCCCAGGATATGGCAGCTGGAGGCTGTCAATCAGCTGGTTCTCTTGAAGGGCCATGGGATGGGATATCTCTATGGTTGCCACTAATGTCTACTTGATATATTTAGCCAGTTTAATAAAAAACAAACATTTTACTGTAAATTTCTTTTATATTAAAGCAGTTTGATAAAATCTTCATATGGGAAAAGATTCCAACAGAGATTAATAATGTATAACATTTGTTGCTGGATATTCCTCAAATGTCTGCTAAGGCTCTAATATTATTTGAATTAGAGAATGTGAAAGGAGTTAAATATCATTTATCATTATTTAGCATTCTAATAATCATAAGCAATCTAAATACACTATTAGATTGTATAATGCCGTTCTTTTAGTCTTATTTGTCACTTTTCTAAAGGCAAAGTACTCATCACTTGACTGAAAAGTAAAAAATCAGTAACTGGCTATACCTGTTTCTGATCATTCTGTCCTTTGGAACATTTTGATTTTGATCTCCAGCCAATTTGTTTTCAATGGAGTCATCTGCTTCCAAAAGGACCAGAAAAACTCTGAGCCTGGGAATCAGGTCATCTCTCGTCTAATTCTGCTTTGTTACAATGTAACTGTGTGACCTTGCAGAAATTACTTCACCCCCTTGGGCTTCAGTTGCCACAGCTGTGAAATGAGTTTATTAGATTAGATAATCTCTAGGCTTCATCTAGCCTATGAAATATTGCCGTTGAAATTGGAGGTTATGGATAAAATGTTTCTATATTTGTTATCAAAAACTAAAATAAAGACACGGAAGCTATATTTAGGAAATGTGTGGACAGCATACGTGTTGGAAAGTGCCATTAATATTTAAAACCATCTTCCAGGCCAGAAGAATAGGTTATTTTCTACTAAATAAACTTTAATAACGATAGGGTGGATTGTTTGTCTGCTTTTTAAAAATAACCCTTTAAAAAAACCCTAGTTTTGGAGTTCCAGAATTATAGCGAAGATAGTAGAGAGTGCTTATTTACTTTTACTTTACATTTAAGTTTAAAAATATTTGTGGTGATCATTATTGGGTGGTTGGTATTGGTGGTGGAGGGGGCTGAAATGGGGCTACTGGGGCATATCATGGAGAGACTAGACTTAACATTTTCTGTGAAAAGAATTTAGGCATGTTATTGACTATCAAAAAACCCCTCACAATGACAACCTAATACAAGCTTGCCTACATTAATAGAGACCTCCATTAATGATCCAGAATAAGGAAACGACAATCATATTGTGCTCCAGCCCGACTACACTTCATCTAGAGTTCTGTTTTTAGTTCAGGGAACATTGAAATGTTTGTAGGAGGCCAAAAGATGAGGGAACGGTGTGATGAAAGACTTGGAAGTTATTATCTAAGAGGAAAGACTGGATGAGCTGGAGAGGTTTAGCTTGGACAAGAGAAGACTTAGCAGGACCGTGCAACCAATTCCTTTTTAAATTAATTTTAAAAAACTAGGTAAACTACTCATATAATCAAAAAATCAAAGTGATGCAAAAGATATCAGTGCTTCTACTTCTGTTTCTGCTCTGTTCCCCCATCCTGTTTAGGTGTGAATTTTTTTTTTATTATTCATTTTTCAATCCTCCCAGTGTTTCTTTAGGCAATTACAAGCAAATACACATATACAAAGGAATCAAATTATGCATGTTATTTTGCACCTTGATTTTTTTTTTTACTTAATATATTTTGGAGATCTTTCCATATATATATATATATATATATACATATATATATATATATATGGTGCCTCATTTGTTTTAGACAGTTGTATAGAATTCTTTCATCCATTTTGAAGACTCAGTTTTTTCTTCTGAGAAGTGGGGATAATATGCATACTTCAGAGAATTGGCAGGAGGATTAAATAAGATACAATATGTGAAGTTTAGCACAGGCTTTGCCCATAGTATCATGCAACAAACATTATTCAAAGCTTTGCGGGATCCCCTTGAAGTGGGAAAACATGTAGAACTGGATGCTCCTGTCTTGTTGGGCTAGGGCAGGGGTGCACGGTCCTGCTCATCCTGTTGTCTCTAATGTCCATTCCTTTCCCTTTCACCCTTGATCCAGCTCCTCCTCGTTGTAGTCTTCTTCTCACTTCCTCTCATCTGGGAGTTTGGGGGGTTTCAGAGGGAATTGCACTGTGTGCAGCTATTGATGTGGTGTGTCCATGGGAGGAGGTGAGTTCAGGAGCCTCTCAGCTTGCCATTTTGGCCTGGAACTCTCAGGGCTTTGGCTTGAGTTTGAGGAAAGGCAGTGCCTAGGAGAGTAACTAACACACGCTTTTCCTAAATTCTCCTGAACAAATTTTTAAAAGAGTAGAGGATTTTTCTACACTGTAATTTTAACTTATTATAGAGAATTGGAGTAGGATCCTGCAAGGGTATGTTTGGAGTGTGAGTGTGCAGTGGACAGGTGGTGTGGATACTGGTTCGGGGGATGGAGAATAAAACCAGCACCTTGACGGCCATTCCACCTTGACTTTGGGGGGAGGTCCAGAATCTTCTGGGACCCTAAAGGTAAAATTCATTGTACACTTTCATCATTATCATGGCTCTTTTGTGGTCCCTGAACAATTAATGCATGAAGAGCTTTTAGTGCAATTTCTAATTGAAGTAGCTTTTGAGTAAGGGCTTTGCTATTTGCTTCTAGCTTTCTCCAGCTTGCTAGCCTCTATTTATTTATCAGTTTTTATCTTGCTTTTGAAAGAATGATCATGCCCATCAGGGCTGTGGCTGTCCAGTTGTGCAGGACATTTAATGTCCGGTCTGCAGGCTGAAATCCAACTGGAAGTCAGTCCATTAGTGAAGTCATTAGCCCCGTCCTGGCAGCATCTACCTGGACGAAGGAAAGCTTTTTTTTTTTTTTTTGACTTCTTACCAAAGTCCATTGTGGGATAATATATCCCTACCTCTGTTTTGGCCAGCTGATACTCTCCCCTCTCTGAGGGTAAAAGTGAGACACAGAGGATATTGGAGTGCACCCACTGCTGAGCTCAAGCATATACTGCACGAAGCTGCAAATCTGTTTATATGCTTTTAAGCTCATATACTGCCTCTCCTTTTCCTTATGCCTGAAGGGAGGTATTTTTACTTCCAGATATTGGAACTGCTGTGATTTAAAAGCTTTTAATCTTTTTGTTTGGAATGCTGATGAGTCAAAACTGGAATTAAACAAACTGGAACATATTTTTAAAATAACATTTAATGAGTACAAATTTACAGAAGCAGTCATCCCTTACCATGGGGAGAACATACAAAAATAAAAGGTCTGTGAGCTTAAAAATTTTCCTAGAATACAGTGCAGTTTAGTCTTTTTTTTTTTTTCACAGAGTTTGCTTTTATTTTTCCTGTCCATCATGTCATAAAGGAAGCTGCTGCTGAGCCTGACACAGAGTTGGTACTCAAAAGTGTGGAATGAATTAGTTGGGACAAGGTGATTAGAGGATTAATTAGTTTTTAAAAAACAACGAAGAAAGACCTTTTGTGGAGAAGGCAATATTGCTGCGTGATCGGTAATCAGAAGCAGGATTCTCTAAAACATTTCTGCAACCATTTATTTACATACATTTTAAAAGTTACTATAAGATACTTTAAAATTTTAGACAGTTAATGTTAAGAAAAATATGAACTGTTTATGACACTAAAAACTTTTTAGGAAAAGACATCTTAAAAAGCAAATCTGGGAACTGAATTCCCTTATGACTCCAAGGTTCTAGTTAAAACATCTTTTTTTCTTTTGAGGTTATTGGTATTATTTCCATTTTATTCTCCTGATGTACTCTCCTGTGAGCCAGAAAAGTACTTTAGCAACTTTATGAAAATTTCTTGAGACTGCTGGTGTCAGAGAAATCCAGTGAGTTTTTCACAAGGAACTGGTTTTTGTTCAGCTTCCCTCTCTCCCTGAGGTAAGTAAACAAGTGGCATCCTTTCCTCCATGTGACCTTGATCCCATACTTCTCCTCGGGAGTGTCTTCAACTAGAACAGGCCCAGGCTCTGGGCTCTTGGGAGTACTAGCGTGGAAGGAGCAGCTCGGGAGGCTACTTTCCCTCTGGTCTGGGGGAATGGGCCCCTCCTTCACAAACGATGACTCTGGGGTCTAGATATCAGGGGGAATGAATACATAAGGTAAGTTTTGAAGCGCATGTACTGACACTTCCCCACAGCTTTGAGGACTGAGCATTGGAACTAAGGGCCTTCCGGAAATGCGCTTTTCTGATTGACCGGGGCATTCCCTGCTTAAGGGGATCCCAAGTGTGGCTGAACAGGAGGAAGACAGTGGACTGTCAAATGTTAGATGTGGGAACTTGGAGGCGGTAGATTTTCCACTTGCATGTCTTGCCTGGTTTCAACGATGACATTTCTGGTTCACAGGGAACCAGCTTTCTGCTGCCGTATCAAACTGAGGTGATACCCAGGAAGTGACGGTGTTACGGTCAATGGGCTTGCTGGGCACCTGTCTAGTGTGGGTAATGGTAAGCTGGGGAGAGCCATAATGGTGTTTGGGGCCCTCCAGTGGTGGTTCTTGGAATAGCAGCTGGGCTTTCTGGGAAGGCTGGCGGCGTTTTTTTCTGGGAGGCATCAATAGGTGAATGAAGAGCAGTTAAAATTAGTAACCACATGATGCTGGTTGTCGTCAGGTCGGGGTTCAGGCTCCGATTCCAACCCATGCCTGCCCGGCGGCGTCCCGGCCGCCGCTCCCCTGGGCCTCCGCTAGTCTAACTTTTTTTATAGAGAACAAGTTGGACCTGTTAAAAGGAATACAGTTCAGTATTTCCATCTGTTCCAAACTCATTCTTTCCAACCGTAGGTAAACTGGAGGAGTCAGCTGTGTTAGGAGGATCAAGTTGGTTTGATGGTTTGGGGAGGAAGGATGGTGAGGGGGACAAGGGGAGGAAATTGGCTTCTCTGGTCCACTGGTGGGGCTTGGAGCCCCTGTGGTTGATGCTGAGGGTCAGGTTTGCCAAGCCCTTGTTATACCAAAACCACTGGAGGTGTTCTTCAACTTCTGGCTTTGTGGATGGCTTCTATTAACTACCCAGGCAGAACAGTTTTACTAGGTTATTAAAGTAGATTTTTACTCTAGATAGGCTTTTTTTTTTTTAACCTAGGTGCGACATTTTCTATTTTTAGTGATGAACTGTGGCCCAGTAAAAACTCTTTACCAAAGAACATGGTTAACCCCAGACACTTTCTTTACATCAGCCTGGGTAGTATTTAATTTTGAAGCAACCATTCTCTAGACAACAGGCAGGCTCCAACCCTGGCACACTTGGCCGTTTTGCACAAAATGGAGTGGATGAGTAGTGACATTTTCCCTGTCTTTCCCACTGATGCTCTAGGGTCAGCACTATATACCACAGCTCTGCTCACAGTTTTCCAGGTTTTTTTGTACCCTTGCTTAGGTGGATCAAGGATAAATTAATGGAGCATGTGTTCTTTGTACCTTCTCAATGAACACAAACTGAGATAAAAAACAAAACTTATAAAAGGTATGATGAAACCAACACCCTCATCCAATGCCAATGATATTGACAAGGTCAATTTAGAAATAATTTGGCAATATATATCAAGTGCTATTAAGATTTCTTAATTTTGTAATCCCAATTCTTGGCAAGTATTCCAAGGAAATAATTTAAAATATGGAAAAAAGTAATAAGTGCTAAAATATTCTCTGAAATGTTATTTGTTTTAGTAAAAAAACAGATATAACCTATATGTTTAATTAGGGCAGTGGTTAAATAAAAGGCCATTTGATGTAATATATTGCAGCCACTAATAATATACATATACCATGTAAGAGAATGAAGCCACTGATACATTAAGTGAAAAAGGAAGGCTGTAAAATTGACTATACAGTATAGATGAAACTATTTTCAAAAAGTTTTGTAGAGAAATATCCTTGGTGGTGGGTGATGTTTTAATATTTTTTAATCATTTTGTATCACATAGAATATATGATAATAAAGGTTAAAAAAAAAAGAAAAATAGATGGCCTTTATAGAGCAGGCAGAAAAACATCAATCTCAAGGCCTCTTGGTTATCTCAGTTTGTGGGAAGAGGGTGCACGAGGCTCTTTCAGCTCCATGCATGAGCCAGGAAGGCTAATCCTGCTGAAGGTCATCTTGGAAATGGCACTATCAGCACAGGAAAAACAGAGAAAACCATCCTGCATTCCAGCAAAGATTTGAGAAAGAAGCATGTCTCATATCAGCTCCTGTTCACACCTTTCTACCCTAAGATTTTACATAATTTTCTCTCATCTATGCCTTAGTCAAACTTATACGTTCATTATTCATTTAATTTCACTGCTTAAAATTATAATAAGCACTGAAAAACTATAGAAATTACTTTTTTATACTAGAAATCCATTTCATAAATGATTAGTATTGAACAATATTTGGAATATACTATTCACAAAGCATACCATAATACCTTAATCATATAAACCTTGTATAGTGCAACTTTGCAAAATTTATTTAGCTTGCTACCTAAAATTCTGGCTTATTTCACCTTATTGTGCAAGGGCTTTTATCAACCCTTCCTTGCTTATTATATATTGAAAAATTCCAGTGGATAGCTCTCAATTTGAACTCAATCTTCCCTACACGTATTCCTTCTAGAGGAAGAATCTTAAGACAATGGTAATAGATTTGCATGTATTCAACCCATGGTTACTTCCTATCAATGGTGATATTTTTGTTGTGTTATAAAATAGTTCTCCACAGTGCACATCCAAGTTGGCAAAAGCAAAATCAAAGAGCACATTTAACTATAGAATTCACTATGGCGATACTTAGGATTTCCTTCATTTAAAAAGAACAGTAAGACTGGGTATTTACCCCAAAGATACAAATGTAGGGACCCGAAGGGGTACGTGCACCCCAATGTTTATAGCAGCAATGTCCACAATAGCCAAACTGTGGAAAGAGCCAAGATGTCCATCGACAGATGAATGGATAAAGAAGATGTGGTATATATACACAATGGAATATTATGCAGCCATCAAAAGGAATGAGATCTTGCCATTTGCAACGACGTGGATGGAACTGGAGAGTGTTATGCTTAGTGAAATAAGTCAATCAGAGAAAGACATGTATCATATGACCTCACTGATATGAGGAATTCTTAATCTCAGGAACAAACTGAGTGTTACTGGAGTGGTTGGGGGTGGGAGGGATGGGGTGGCTGGGTGATAGACATTGGGGAGGGTATGTGCTATGGTGAGCACTGTGAATTGTGCAAGACTGTTGAATCACAGATCTGTACTTCTGAAACAAATAACGCAACATATTTTAAGAAAAAAGAAAAAGAAGATAGCAGGAGAGGAAGAATGAAGGGGAGTAAGTCAGAGGGGGAGACGAACCATGAGAGACGATGGACTCTGAAAAACAAACTGAGGTTTCTGGAGGGGAGGAGGGTGGGGGGATGGGTTAGCCTGGTGATGGGTATTGGAGGGGGCACGTTCTGCGTGGAGCACTGGGTGTGAACAAACAATGAATCATGGAACACTACATCAAAAACAAATGATGTAATATATGGTGATTAACATAACAATAAAAAATAAAAAAAAAAGAACAGTAAGAAAAATTCTCATTCCTTTTACTTCATTCGTCCCCCTTTTTCAGACATACCTGAGAAAGCCTTTATCAGTGGCCACCATCTTACTGTTTCCTTTTTCATTGCACTCAGCCCTCGAACCAGAGAAGGAAGTTGCATGTATTTCCCCTGGATTTTGCAAGACATGAGGTCATGCATGTTGCCCATAACAAAAAAATGTTTTAGTGTGAAACCACAAAGCTCACTGTGACCTCAGCCCCGCTGCCTCTGGGAAGAAGAGAGGCAGGGACCTACATAGGTTCATCACTAACCTGAGATTAAATGGTGTTCTATTCCTATTTGTCAATTTCTCAACGTCAGGCAACAGTTCCTTCTCTGTTAACAAACTTCAAGGCAAGGTGGGAGAAAATGCTTTCTTAACTGTGCCCATTATGTAGTCTTCCCTAAATATACAATACTATAGTGGAGAGTCCAGGTAAATTGAACTTTGCTTTAAATGTTGTCCATTTGATGTCGGTTTTGAGTTCCTCTCCCAGCCCTGGCGGATTCGTGTGAGGGTCTTGTCTATACAAGGCAGCATGAGGATGCACTTGATCACCAGCACGGTGCAGGGAATGATAAGCGCTATCACGTAGGCTGAAGGAAGGTACCATCTGAGACTCGAAGGACTGAGGAATCTCTTTCCGCCATACACCATGGTGTGGGCTGTGCACAAGATCAAGGTCAAATAACCCAGTTTGGACTATATAAGCAAGAAAAAAATATGTATACATTAACACTACATTTATATTTTAAAGTGAAACACTCTAAGCCAATGAAGATATTTATTACCAACCACAAACCTTTGACATCTGAAATATTTAGAACACTCTGCTAAGTACTGGAGAAAGCATTAACCCTCCTTTGGGATGATAAATATTGCATTAAAAAAAAAAGATTGTGCTTACAAATGATACGTTGATTTCATCCTTCTAAAAATTTTTTATTCTTGAAGTATAGTCGGCATACAACATTGTATTAGTTTCAGGTGTACGACATCTTGATTCGACAATTCTATACATTTTGTACCGCTCACCACGATAAGTGTAGGCACCAGCTGTCACCATACAACGTTATTACAATATTATTGACTATATTCCCTGTGCTGTACCTCAGTTCCCAGGATGGGTGACACAGGTGAAGGGGATTAAGTGGTGGTTTCATTTTAACCTGGCTGGATGGGAAAGTTTGCTAAGAGTACTTTTTTGGGTTAGAATAAATAATATACCTTGGCTTCTTTCCCAGTGGTAAAACTTTTTCCTTGATCAAATTTTCTGGAGGCCAGAGATGAATAAGACACAGCATGTCCTCAAGAAGTACCACATTAATTTATGTTACTGACTAGAAGCAGATGCTAGCTAATTTCTATTGCTATAAAGAACAGTTAGCAAACTACTTTTGTTTGCTTGTTTTGGCCTAAATTCTAAAGCTCAGTGTTTATTTCTGTCTTAATGCCTTGACTAAAGGTGTTAACATGAGAAAATGTTGACTGCATTTGTTCTCTGGGAGAGACTGCAAGACTTTTGAAATTTGAATAGTTTTATAAAATTCAAATCTAATTTCAGTTACTAATGGTCTTTTCTATTATTATACTGGTTCACAACAAACATGCATCAGAATAATCTGGAAGACTTGTTAAAACACATTGTTGGGCCACATCTCCGGAGTTTCTGATTCATTAGGTCTGGGGGGAGCCTGGGAACTTGTGTCTCTAGTAAGATCCCAGGTGATGCTGAGGTTCTAGGTACCACACTTTGAGTATTACTGGTCCATAAGAATAGTAACTAACTGCCTTTAGTGAGGTGTCCGGTGGTTGATATGTGGGAAACAGCAATTTTCCCTCTTATAAACCAGCACTGGGTCTGGTATGATAACAGTCTTCACATAGCTTGCTTTGATGGTTTTAAACTTGAGTTTAATATATATATAATATATAAACATATATATATATACACACACACACACATATATATATATTTAATATATGCCTTTTTGTATCAATATGTCCATATACTAAGGTTGATTTTCAGAGGTAAACATTTTGTCTTTGGGTTTCTCTTCACATTGCGCCTAGCACATCCCTACACACAAAGTTTAATAGTTGTTGGTATTTTTCACTCTCTACTCTTACCTGTGGCTCTAGGAGTAAGCAGTAATCTTGGCAAGTGATGCCCAGCTAAGAAACAAAACTATTATGGTATGACTTTTGGTACCAGAGTTTAGCATTTTCTCACTTGAACTTGGTTCAGTTCCTATTTTTGTGACATTGCTAGGGAAGTGAGGGAGCAAGATGAAAATTTATGCATGGTATGAGAGAAAAATGAAAATATTTGTAAAGCCAGACTTATTTTGCAATATAAAGGAGATTAAATCTTGAAGTCCTTACCTGGACAAATCGGAACTCTCTCCAGTTGACCATGTTGCTAACTGATGGCAAGGAAGTGATTCCCAAGAGTACAAACAGGAAAAACCCAAGGATTCCCAAAGCTATGTACGAATCATTAAGCCAGGCAGTAGAGGTGCTAAATGGATCTTCCGTCTTGGCTGTTGCCTAAGAAAAATTATAAGCAATTTTTAAATATTACATTTTTTTACAAACTGCCCAAACTTGTAAGGGGACTGAAAAATACCTCTGCATGGTATATTTGCTCAAGATAAATTGTATGTATTTCTTAATAATCACTTGAAAATAACTGTCGAGAAAAATACACTTGGAAATGATATTTCTTGGTAGAAAAAGTAATTGGTTCTGCTGGGACTTTATTATAATAGTTGACTCCAAGAGTTGTGTAGAAAATTTTAATTGACCCTATAAATTCTAAAACAAAGTAAACCTTTACTTAAACCTTCTTTACCATATGGCTTCTTGTTCCCCAAGCAAAACTTGATGTTCTCAAATGATTGTATCAAGATTCTGTTTTTCTGCTTTATATGCTTATTCACACACACAAAGTTTGGGTTCTTTCATGTTTATTTTTGCTGTAATATAGCATCAAATCTGTCACACCACAGATTGAGAAAAATCAGGCCCTTCAAATGGGACTCTTACCTAAGAACTTCCCATGTATTTTTTAGGGAAATAATGTCGAGAAATCCACAGAAGTACCATCAATGAGTTAATCGTCTCATAAACTTTGAGAATGCAGTAAGATTGATCAAAACCAATTATATCCAAACTAGAACGGATGGATAGCACTTCCTCTGGGACTGCTTTAAGACTCTCTGAGCTAATTCTCTCTGAATTTTTGACTATGCAGAAAATAGTATTTGACATTTGCTCAGAATTGTTTAGTTTTCTAGTTCTCGAGGGCAGCTCTCTGCAAGTCAAACATTAATGAAGTTATAAGCATCCTTCTATGAATTTGTTTACCTTCCTGTGACACAGGTTTGAACAGCCCCCTTACTTAGAAGATGGTTGGTTTTGACTTCCAAAAGGAAGTAGCATGCATAAAAATAGAAGCTTGAAAGCACATTGGTTTACATTTATTGACTGCACCCCCTCCCCAAGAAATTCAAGTAAGTGTTATTAGGTTTCCCGAGCCCCCAGATCTGTCAGTTTGCTAGTATCCCAGTGAGTCCTGGGAATACACATCTGGATGCAAGTGAGCCCAGGAATCTAACTTTCATTCTCAATAGTTGTATGAGGTCTCAACTGAATTCATTTAAAACAAACAAACAAGCAATAAAAAACCAAACCAAACCAAACAAACAAACAAGCAATAAAAAACCAAACCAACCAAACAAACAACAACAAAAGAGAAAACAACCAAAACCTGACAGGAGCTCTAGTACTTAAAAAATAAAGATGCTTAGGAGAGTGATTTTCTATAATTGTGAAATGGAATATGATGCAGCAAGATTTCTTTTTGATTTAAGGCATTGGAGAATATAAATGAGTAGAGATTTACCTGGGTAATGGTTCTGTTTTTCAGTGTCCATCGTACATAATAACGAATAGGAATCACAAGAGTGTAGAGGACATGAAGGAAGGCAAATCCCAGTGCTGCTAAGCCAAGCTGTTTTCTGCAAAGCAACCAGTGGTCAAGCCAGTCTGGGAATCGGCGGTATTTTGTACCTCGGTACAGTTGCAGAATTGCAGCAGTAACACCAGGGAGGTAAACCAAGGCAAGCAATGTAAGTGCTGCTATTGGAAAGATACGATTTGGAATGGAAATAGCCAAGCGAAATGTGCTATCTTTCTTGCCATTAACATAAGGGTAGATTATGTCTCTTATAACGCAGTAGAAAAAGAAGAAGACACACAGAATAGCAGACAAATAGAAGGGGAACTTCCACATTGGAAATAGTTGCAGGGGGTAGTTTTCAATTTCTTTGGCTGCCATGAGAGATCCTTGATCCAGTGGAGTAAGTCCAAGAGTACGAACAATATCCATCACTCTTTGCTTGGCTTTGCTATCATTTCCGCAGACAAACACCTGGGTTGAGAATAATCAATTAATAAACAATTAAATAATACTTATTCCTTCTTTAATCATTACTTTGAAAATCTATGTAAGCACCGTGCAGAACAAGGACATGCTTTTCAAACAAGGATGTAGAAGCAACATGTTTTAAACTTGCACACGTGTGCTGGATGGTTAAGTACCAGGGTTGAAGTTGAGAGTGGTTTTAAGCATATCAGACTGATAAAATAGGACTTGGTTCTCCACAGGGTGAATGGTTTGATTTTTCTTCTGCATTCATGGGTGCTACATCACTTATGGATTACTTTTAATCTCAATGAATAAATGGAACCAGTTTCATACAATGTAATGGGAATGGAAAGGGTATCCATCAACAATCTAACTGAGTTATTTTTTAGTACTTACATGAGGCCTCTGGAGCCTGACACCATTGTGTCCCATCAAACTAAAAGCTTAGGGTGTCAACATGGGAAATAACTCACAACAATCGACTACTTGGTTAAACCCAAGAAAATTATCCATGGCACGCATTAGCAATCAGAAATGTTTACTGGGTATTTTATTTTGGAATTCTATTTTGGCATCTTCGAGGTAAGTGCATATTAAAACATTCACTTTTTTTAAAAGATTTTATTTATTTATTTGAGAGAGAGAGATAGCAAGAGAGAACAAGAGCGGGGAGGAGAGAGAGAAGCAGGCTCCCCACTGAGCAGGGAGCCCGATGTGGGGCTCAATCCCAGGACCCTGGGATCATGACCTGAGCCAAAGGCAGACATCTAACTGACTGAGCCACCCAGGCACCCCAAAACATTCACTTCTTAAAGATTGAGTATAAATTAATCATTTAATCTTACCTGCCGATTTGCATCCAGTGCTCCGGACTGGAGAGCCCAGGCTGAGATGGTGTTAAATGCTTTTACTACGTGGGCTCCTGGCACTAACTGAACAAGGTACTCTGCATTAGATTCTGGATACTGATTGATTTTGAGGTTGTTGCTGATGTCAACCAATATTTTTCCTTTGAGCACCTCAGTTAGTTCCTTGAGAAACTCATAATGCTCTCTGTGGACTGCTATGATTATGATGTCTGATTTCTGGGCTGCTTCTGAATAGCTCAAGACCTCTGCACCGTTGGGCAGCAAACTGGACTTCTGCGGGTTTCGACTTCCAAAAACAATAGAATAATCACACTGGAGCATTTTAAGTGCCAGTGATCTTCCAAAATCTCCAGTTCCAAAAATACATACAGTCTCTTGCTTTTCTGAAGAATTCATAGTAGAAGGAAATGCATCTGTAGAAGTTTTTTCCATGACTGAAAGATAACAACAGAAATAGCCAACAAAATATGAATGCTCCACATGGAAAAATTATTGTCGTATATATTCTCATATGTGTCTGAACAAAATTACTGGTCAAAGACTTCTTCTGTTGGATAAAGAGATGCAGTGAAAAACCAGGACACTTATTGGTGGATGCTTTAAACTACAGATATGTGTTGCAATGATACTGCCTTTGTCCAACATTTAACAGTTCCAAGTGTTCTCAGAGCAAAATCTAGCAAAGAATGCACTAGTAAGGAAACTGTAGAGCCATTTACTTATGTTTCATGATCCAAAAAGCCTAAGTAAAACATTAGCAAACAGAATCCAGCAGCTTGTTAAGAGAAAATGGGGATTTTGGTCAAATGGGGATTATTCTAGGAATGTAAAGATGAGTTCTGTAAATTCAATATTAGAAAATCTATTAATATAGCTTACCATATTAGAAGATTTAAGGAGAATAATACAGTCATATTTATGTATGCTAAATGGGCATATATTAAAATTTGACATTTATTTTTGACTCAGTAAAAAAAAAGGAACAGATAGGTATTTCCTTAACATACAAAGTATCTCTCTCAACCTAAAATCTAGTATTTAACTTAAAAGAAACTTACAAAAAAAATGACTAGAAACACTCCCAATAAAGTGATAAGCCAGACAGATCATAAGCCAGACGAACGTATCTGCTTTGACCAATTTAGTTATTATTGTTTGGAAATTCTAGCTCACACAACTAGACCACAGAAAAAAATTTGAGGTATAGAAATTCAAAAGGGGTTGTGGATGATGAAACTGTAGTCTTAGAAAACTTGAGAAAGTCAACTGAAGAAGTACCATACATATAAAATCAATCCAACATCTTATTTAGGAACCCAATTAATATCAATATTCTTCATATATTAAAAAAATTAGTTTGAAGATTTGATAGAAGGGGCCCTACTTAAAGCTGCAACAAAATGGGAAAATACTTAGGAATAAATGTAACAAGATAACAAGAGAGGTACAAGATCTATATGAAGAAAAATGTAAAATTCCCTTAAGACCCAGAGAAGATTAATGTAAATGGAAAGGTACAGCATGTTCCTGGATGGGCAGGCTCAGCTTTATGCAGATGTCAGTTTTCCCTAATTTAATCTCTAAATTCTGAAAAACAAAGTAAGGAATAGGGGGCTAGTTTTATTAAATATTTAAATATTATAAAGCTAAAATAATGAAATAATATAGCAGTGTCACAGGAATAGAAAATGTTCAGTGAAATAGAGTAAAAAATACAGAAATTGACCTAAGCACATATGATAAAGATGTCATCTCAAGTCAGTGAGAAGAAGATGGATTATTCAGGAGCAAATATTGGGACAACTAAATAGCCAATTGGAAGAAGAAGTTGAATCTATATGTCATACTCCCCTCCAAGGTAAATTTAAAATATATTAAAGATTTAAATTATGTATGTATGTATCTATCTATTTTAAGTAGAACTATAATAAAACTAGAAGGAACCATGGAGAATTCTTTTATAACTTTAGAGGGAAAAGGCCCTTTTCCTATACCACAAATCCCTGAAACCATTAAAGAATAAAGGGATAAATAAAAATACAAAGTATATCTCTCAACCTAAAATCCAGTATCTAACTTAAAAGTAAAAATTATCATATATATTACATAAAACTGTGATTACATAAAGATAAATAACACTTGCAAAGCAGAAACCACTGTAAGCAAAGTCAGAAGATCATCAACAAACAGCAAAAAATATTTTTAACTCCTACAAATTAAAAAAAAAATTGCCCAATTGAAAATTGGACAAAGGATATAAGTTGACTTTCATCCTAAGGTGATATAACATAGTAAAAAAAAAAATCTTAATCTTACCCAAATAAAAGAAATGCAAGTTAAAACTAAACTGAAATACTGTTATAAAGCATGTGAGTTACTTTTTAAAAGCTTCTGAAATGTAAATTAAAAACAAACCAAATAAAAGTTCTCAAAGTTCCTATGGTCCAATAAAATAATTTAGGTTATTCTGAAGAATATTATTTTTCCTTTCAGTAATGAATTTTTCTCAAAAAATTATTTATTTTAAATAACATTTGTTATTTACTGTAAATTTTCAGTTAACCTTTTCCTTTCTTTCTTTTCTTTTCTTGGTCTCTTTTGTTCAGTAACATACGCCCCGTGCTAACAAGAGTGTGGACTATGATGGACTAGGCACTTCTTGACAAAATTTGTTGAGTGATACTAGAAAGATGGAACGTAGGTGTTGGAAGGAGCTGTTTGCTCTGTGTGCCAGGCACAGTGTGGGGCACATAATGAAGAGGAAGTTGAGTGATTAAAGTGTAACCACTGGGAAGAATAAGGGAGCAGGAGAGAAGTCGAGAAGATGTTGTAAAGACAGTACTTCTTTCACCCAAATGGGTTTAAAGTAACCCTCAGTGAATTTGCTGTGGAATTTTAAACCAGATGTAGTCATACTTCAGTTCTTCCATGGTGGATTTCATGCTGATTGTAGAGCATAGGAAGCTTGCCCTTTTTAATGGGATGTCAGAAATTTGCCCTTTCCATTGTAGCCTACAGAAAATACCTATATTCTTACCTGAGTTTATCCAAAAGTGTGTACCTGTGTCACAAGCAGACCATTTAGAGCTTTGTAGGTCATCAGAAGTATGGAAGAAACGGACAGGAAATATAAGACTTCCCTGTACTTCCACAGAAACTCTTGGAATAATTGAATTAATCACCACAATTGAATCATTTTTAAAACTAGCTGGTGACTAATATCCTGAACTGAGTCAGAGAAGGGCGTAGTACAGGGCCTCTCATATGGAAATACAGCTGGGCCTTAGGGAAATTTTTTGTAGCATCTGCAAATGCAAACTAGTTTAGCAATTTATATTATATTGGTTAGTTGCTAATCAGTAAACACCTACTTGTTAGAACTCAAACTCTCAAACTGGTGAATGATGCCTTGATTATTGTGAATGTGTTCAAAGAATGTTAGTTGGCTGACTATCCCCACACTTTTTATCCAGTGTTTTTCCCTCATATATTGTTTTTCTCTCTCTTACATTCAGATGAACATTTGCAAGCAAAATACAGATTTGATAAAGTTACCAGTGTTCTGTAATGAGATGGATGATATCTTTATCGACATATTTTCACTTGGATCATCTTAATCATTGCAAAGAGAGAGTGATTCTGGAGTCTGTTTTGACGATTTGGCCGCTGCCTTAATTTATTCTAACCTGTCATAAACTTTTTTTTTTTTAAATGGAGATATTCACTAAACAACACTATTTTTTTGTTGCAACTCTTACTAGCACTATCAGCTTGGGTAAGTTACACAAACTCTTGGTGTCTTAGTTTCATCATCTTTCAAATGAGAGATTGATAGTACCTACTTTTGAGACATTGTGAGGATTAAATGAATTAATGCATTTTTTTTTTTCTTAGAGAGGGAGGGAGGGAAAGAGAGAGAGAGAGAAAGAGAGATGGTGTGGGACGGGGCAGGGGTGGGGAGGAGAGAATCCCAAGCAAGCTCCACATCCAGCATGGAGCCCCATGAGGGGCTCGATCTCACAATCCTGAGATCATGACCTGAGCCAAAATCAAGAGTCAGATGCTTAACCGACTCAGCCACCCAGGTGCCCCACGAATTAATGTATCTTAAAACAGTTCTTGAGACATAGTAAGTACTCAGTAAATTGGCTGTCATTAATAGATTATTCAAATAATCTAGTAATTTTCTAATTTTCCAATCTATTGATTACCTAATTAATGTAACCTTTATATAAATTCCATAAATTAGGGATTAATTATGTTTCTATAACTGATTATTGGAAATATATAAAATTTATCTGAAATAGCATTCAATAATTCTTAAGAAGTTTCTGCTTTTCCCACTTATTTCTTATAAATAAAACCCTATATGAAAATGGCTTTAAAACATATGAGTTTATCAAAACACAGATGTATAAACAGCTCAAGTGTGAATTTCTCTCATTTGTAATTCTTACTCATTTTAACATTTCCCTCTTAAAATGCAGCTTGGCAATCCAGTGTAACACACTTGGGCTGTTATAGCAACCATTGAAATTATTTTCACTTTCTTAAACTCTCAGAGACATCACTGGACAAATTGTAGGTACAAAGACAGTAAGGAGATATTAAAATATCACTGATTGACTTAGAAAGAAATATATTCATTCCATTGGGCAGTTATTTACTCCTTATCAAGTTATGGAAGTTCTAAGGTTGATAATGGTGTTTGCCATATCTTGAGCTCCTCTTCAAATCCTCCTGGTTCTATTTCCAGTTACCAGGTAGTAATGGAGCTCTGCTGAACTTCTACTGCCTAACAGAGGCTCATTTTGGGGACTCGCATCTTCTATCTCTTGATTCTTGTCCTGAGACTTCTCTCATACCTGTACCTGCTTAGCATTCAGACATGTATGACCCATACGGCCACCATAGACCAATGGGGGACAGGACTCCATGAATAAGTGCTTACCCTTTCATCTTCTGGCACTCAGTTCTGACATGTTTTATGAGGCTCCTCAGAAAGCCCCAGTGGAATAGAGCACCATTCCTCTGTAGGGGTGGCCAACTTAACATTCTTTCCTGCGATCTTTCTCACGATCCTGGTTTATGTCCTGTGCCCCTCACTCTTGCTCCTTGGAATCACTTCCTTGGTAAACTATCTGCATGCAAACCTTTGTCACCGGCTCTGCTTGCAAATCAACCCAGGATAATACAACATTTTGATTATTTTTTTCCTAGAAAAAGAAAAATGATCAGACCTCAGGTTCCTAACTGGGATGATGAAATAACATGTAAAAAATAAAAAGTTAGAAAAAAAAGTTAGTAATTCTTTGGAAGAATTTCATTCTGAACTCTTGGAAAAAATTCTAATAATAAGAGTTCATAAAAATGAGATGTATGCATAATCTAAACCACAAGGGATATCAAGTTGAGGGTTCGTTTTACAGTAAGT